CCAGCCCCTCCTTCCTCAATGGGCCAGACCCACTACGAGCCTGCTGATGACCTGGGCCCAACTGGGCAGGCAGCTGTGGAGAAGACGGGGAGTGCCACATTTCTGGCCGCCTGGGTTGCGCAAGTCAGAAGCCGTCCCGGACAGTTGGGGCAGCCTCGACAAATGCTACCATTAGAGGGGTGCTGGAAATTTATTACCAAACATATTGGTATTTTAGGGTGCAGCTGACTTAGATTTAGTGCCGTTGCTGACGAGGCTCTGTGTTTAAACCAGAATACCAGATTACTACCGGAAAGTCACACCCTCCATCCTTAGTACAACCTGTAACTATCAACTATCACTGATATCTGCTCAACTTGGTTCCTCAGCAGTTGTGTTTGCAATCACAGTAAACCTCAAGTTTTCAGCTACGAAATTAGGGAAAGGAGGCAGAAGATGGCTTGTTTCAATTTACAAGAATGAACTGCGAATGATTTTTAAATCTAAATGTTTTCTGTCTATTTGCAAATTATCAAATTGCCGGGCTTTTAGGAAAAAGAGCAGGCAAATATATACTGTATTATGCTCTATCCAGTGAACCTGTCTGTCTATCTTCCAGACTGCAAACATTTTTTTGTATCATTTCAAAATGCACCAGTGAAGTTAAGCTATCCAACATCCAATTTGGTGACACACTAATGAGGCTGACAAAAGCAGCTCAACATAAAAAGAATCAACAAAAACTACTCTAATTTATAAATGAAGCGCATCTCAAACTTATTGATAACTAAAATCTGAATATATGGAATGCATACATCTCAAAATATTTACATGACTCATTGAGCTGAATTTACTGTTATTATTCTCTTTTAACAGGCTATATATTTTAAGTGTAATGCCCACGGTGATACTTCCAGCCATAGTGATGTCTCATTCTGAGTAATAGGTCTCTAAAGTGTGCTTGTTTGGCTTGTTTGGGGCCATTGGAGAGCAATAAAGTGTCTGTCTGAGGATTTTCGGGGTCCTCATAGACTTTCTCCAGGTGTGCCTCCCAGTCATAAAGTACAACGTGTGTCTCATGGCGTATGCTTGGATAAATGTGTCCGCTGAGTGTTCTTTAATCAAATACTACTCAGCATGCACTGGGTTTCTTAACACAATAATAACACAAGAAATCACTTGTGTAAATTTTGAAGTTCTGTGCTTAGGTGTGCTTCCTATATTTTATACAAACAGATCTTTTTTCTTAGTTCTAAGAATGTTCTCTCTTTTTTTCTCTCCCATGGAGCCAATAGCTACAACAAGAAGGTCACTCTTTCAATCTAAGTTTTTGACGTCCGCTGAGGTTAACCATTTCATTTGTTCCTGGCTTTTTAGTGGAGGAAAGCTCCACTGTATTTTCATGTCGAGGTATGCTGTGTTTACTTTTATCGCTGCTCCTCGGCGAGGCGGGCCGACCCGATGTTTGTTTATAAGGAATTCTGGCTTCACTCGAAACTTTCATTCACCACTTGAAAGCACTTGTCTCGCTACTAATTTACCTTGAGGGACTTCAAAATTATCTGTCTGCGCTGTCGAAACCTTTTTTGTGGCGGCAACTTGTCATCATCAAAGTTTTCCTTTCGAGTTTAATGAAAGCCTGGCAGATAGATGGGTTAATGTTGTATTGTTTGTACTTGACTACTGCATGTACAAAGACATCACTCAAGGTAACATGTTTTTTGGGCCTCAAAATGATTATGTTGGTTGCTTTTTGTTTTTTTTTGCTTTGATTGCTATGGCTGTTGTTGCCACGCGATTTGCTTTTAAGTTAGTGTGATAGAGTTTCACATGAAAACACAAGCAGGGGGGAACAGAGGAGGAATGGAACAGTGTTGGAAATGATCTTGAATTTCCCCTTGGTCATCAGTGCTGCTTTGCTTTACCAAGGATATGTCACTCTGTGCAGCTCGGTTATTTTCAACAGGAAACTATGCACATTGAATAACTCGGGAATATCCAGTACCTAGCACTTACAGAGCTCTTTGACAAATTACCATCCAGCAAACTTAATGTCCCACTTGTGTCAGGGGCAAGGCTGTAGGATGGGAGGTTTGTGTAGTTAACGGTTTTTCTTTTTTTTTGGTATTTTCTCCCTAGTTAATAGGTGAACACTTCACCTAGTAATGCCTGTGTAAATATATAAAAACTGTTTTGTTTTTTTTCCAAAGTTATCCTAAGTTCAGATTTCCCTCTTTGGGGTGGGGGAAGGTTTGGAGTGTAACACTCTGCTGAGACTTATGTCAAAAAAAAAGGAACTTGATCCCCCTCAATGTGTGACATTGTATCAACACTGTAGTAGTTCTACCCAAAACAAATTTGCAGCATACGCATATATGAAAATATTGCAACTGTGTCACCAGGGTGTTAGCATTTTGTTTCATCCGTACCATTTGATCCCTTGTCACACCGCTCCTGCACCTTTCACTCTGTTTATGTATTCTTTGTCAAGATAAGCAAACTCGCTTTACTGAGATGTTCCCCTTTTGTGGACCAACTGAGGAAGAAACTCAAAATTTCTTTTAGGATCTGAGGTTTAGCGGTTTAGGATCTGAAACTTTCCAAAGCACTCGGATTCCAGTTAGACGCGCATTATCCACCCATTGGTTATCTTAAAAACAGAATCGGCCATTTGGAAGTGAGTCTATTTTCATGTGTGTGAGAAGCTGAGTGGATAACCTGTTGGCAGCGGAGGACAGTGCAGATCTCTCTTCACTCTAAATTGCAGGCAGGCATCCCTGCAGCTCCACATGAGGACCATTGAGTCCCATCAAGATAATCCTCAATAAAGAACGGCTTCACATTTAATCTTAGCCCACGTCTCAAATTTCTCACTTGATATAGTTTTTGGCAAGTGACGTTTCAGAGCCGATGTCAGTCGAACACTATCAGTGCATCTTATGTTAAGCTTCCATTTGGCAGATGTAGAACGACTCCATTAGGCTATATATGTGTGTTTTATAGTGGCAGAGAATATCATTATAGTGTTCTAATGTGTGCATCTAATGAGGTTTTTACATGTCGAATGCATCTTAGTGCCTCTTAAAATGTCATATTTTATTATGTGACTGCTTTTTACTGCAGAAAAAAGCTTAATGACACGTTCAAAGGCATCATTCTCGACCCCAACAACTCAACATCTTCACAAAAAGTTAAACCTACATTTTATGGGATTGTTTTGCATTTACCAGCCTTTCATTGAATACTGTGGAACATGGCAATCACCAGTAAAACTGCTATGGTTGATTGGAGCCTTGACTGAAAACGCACCATACAGCGCTGCATGCAGGCGAGGCCGAGGAAAATGTGAGTTTGGTCGCTGAGGCATAAACAACTCTGGATAATTATACTGTGCAATTTGAAAATAACTCACTTGCAAAATCACATCTCAAACTAATTTTGTTCAGCTGCTTATTGAAATAGAGAGTGACAGAGTAAATGCCGTAACTCAATTGGCATGTGTACCCCTCCGCTATTAGAAATAGCTACTTGAGAGTCCCCAAGCATCTATTAGTCAATCGAGTTATCAAGAACCTGTTCGGCGTGCAATATATTTCAAACTGCTTCGATATTGAAACCCGTTTGTTTACCTGTGGGCAGTTGGTTTTGGAAAAGGGAAGTAGCGCTTGCATTTCGAGCTCGTCCACACCGTCGCTGCAGTGTATTTAAATCAGGAGCAGCGCAGCTCGAATCTATTTCCGTCAGCTCCTTGTTGACGACTGCTACAGAAGTTGTGTGTTGACCTGCTTTCAGTACGGGTTGTGAACTCGAATTTTGCTCTTTTAGCAACAGGCCACCTTTCTTTATTTCTTATTATCACCCACTGACTAGCAGGTAACGTACAAGCAGCGCATACATACCGCTAACACAGTATACTATTCTTCTAGCCGTGGGTGTTCTTCTTCTGTCACCACCTCTTTACCACAGCAAATGTATGGTTTCCTCTTTCTTGGTAATCATTTTTCAGTATTACAGTCGGTATTTCGCCCCACAGTTTTATTATGTGGAAGTTAAACAACATTTAAATGGTCCGTTGACCTCTCAGCCGTTCATTACGCAGAACTGATATTCTTGGGAAAGAAGTAGTCGTGACATATTGAAGCAAAAAGCTGTGTGAGCCTCATCACCAGCTTGAATAAATCACCAGTTAGAGCTCATCAGTAGCAGCATGGCCTTGTGTACCATAGCGGCTTCGCGCAGTTGAAATAATAACCTGGAGCAGACAGAAGGCAGTCATTACCTTGCACACAGACGTGGTGTGCACGTGTTGACGGAGGACTTCCACTAGACTGCCGTGGAGACGGACAGAGCAGAGCCACTCGGGCTGCTGTTAAAACCTCCGGCTTCGCATCACCTAAGCTAATGACGCTAAGCCCTTGTTTACCCTCAGAAGTCCCTCTACGACAAAGAGAAATCCTGCAGCGACCTATAAGACTCGCAGGAGAGGGCAAAAAAAATGTGGTTTGTGGTAGGAAATAAAGAAGAGCATAACAAAAACAAGAGAGAAAGTGTGTGTGTGGGGGGGG